TTTATTAATTTAACATACCTATCAACACCAATGCCCTCACTTGGCATCTGGTCATGGGTTACATAAGGTGCATGAGGTCTTTTGAGGCAAGAGGGGGTTTGTATGATGCCAAGGTGACAGTGCCACCTATACTTGCTTGGCTCCATGTATTGCAGTGTATGTGTGCCAGGTAAGTGGATTTATATGTTGTGTTGTCTAGTTGTAACTAAATTAACATTCACCAAAAAGACAAAGGTCTTTAAAAAGTTCTGTCCAACCACAGATTGGGAGAAAATATTTGTAGGTCTGCTAAGAGTTGAGTTTCCAAAATGTATAAATTACTGTTACAACTCAAAATAAAAAGACAGCTAGAAGATGGGGCTGGAGGCATGGCTCAGGTAGAGCACCTGTCTAGCAAGCGTGAAGTCTTGAGTTTGAAACCCTGTACAACTATAAAAAAAAAAAAAAGGCCAGGCATCAGTGGCTCATGCCTATAAGTCTAATGAGTCAGGAGGCAGAGATCAGGAGGATCGTGGTTCAAAGACAGCCCAGGCAAATAGTTTTCGAGACCCTATCTTGAAAACACCCATCACAAAAAAAAAGCTGGTGGAGTGGCTCAAGGTGTAAACCCTGAGTTCAAGCTCCAGTACTGCAAAAAGAAAAAAAAAAGAAAGGAAGAAAAGAAAATGGGCAAATGATTAGAATGGATATTCCACTAAAAAAAAAAAAAGAAGACACCTTAATGACAACTAGGCACATAATAACTGTCTAGCATTGCCAGGCTACTTAGGAGGCTGAGATCAGGAGGATCACAGTTCGAAGCCAGCCTGGGCAAATAGTTCCTGAGACCCTATCTCGAAAAAACCCATCACAAAAAGGACTGGAGGAGTGGCTGAAGTAGTAGTAGGCAGGCAGTAGTGCCTGCCTAGCAAGGGTAAGGCCCTGAGTTCAAACCCCAGTGCCACCAAAAAGAAAGGAAGGAAGGATCCAAAAAGTCAGCCTTAACCATAAACTACTTTTCACTATATGTATTTTTATTAGTGTATATTAATTGTACAAATGTGTTGCATTATGATAGTTCCATTCATGTATATGATTACTTTGATTAAATTCACCCTATTACTCTTTCTTAGCTCTCCTACCCCATTTTAAGCAATTTTTAATGGGTTTCATTATTATATATTTTAAACCGGGGAATGCAGCTCAGTGATAGAGCACTTTCCTAGCATGCACAAGGCCCTGGGTTCAGTCATCAGCACTGAAAAAAAAAAAAAAAACTTCATGGAAAACCTGACTAAGGGAAAAACCATTGCTAGAATGGCTACTTTGATTACAATTTTTAGAAGATTCTGGAGAAAAGGTACAGCGATGGCACCACATGTGAAACCCATTTTCTGCGTCATCATCAGGCAAGCTGTTGCAAAAACAAAGTGCATGGAAAGGAAGAGTGAGACGACAGGGAGTGCTGGGGACTGTGGAGAAGTGAGTGCATGTTGACAAGGAGGGCAGCCACTGCTCACATCCAGCCATTGGCTCTTTTTGTGAACACAGGCAATCACTGTAAGAGTCTTAAAGAGAACTCATCTGATTTTTACAGCCATGTAAAGCTAGTCTTTGAAGAAGAATCTTCTTACTTTCCCCTCTGTGTTTTGCTGTAAGATGAGCATCAGGCGGTAGTGGTGGTCTCCTGACTCCTGTAGGCAATGGAGTTGAGTTTTACAAATAAGATCTTTACCTTTTTTTTTGTGGCAGTACTGAAAATAAGACCTTTTGAAATAGGGAAGTCTTGTAACCCTTTGTCATTGTCTGGGGGATTGGCTGGGGATATAGTTTGGTGGTGGAGTGCTTGTCTAACGTGTGAGGCCCTGGGTTCATCCCAGGTACTGCAAAACACAAAACTCTCATCCAGTCACATAAGGGGAGTGACAGCCTACACAGAGGTTAGCTAGCTGCCTGTTGACAAAGCACATGAGAGTGTCCAATGAAAACCTTTATACAGATTTCTGACCTTCTCTAGGCTGAGTAATTGTTAGAACCATACTACTGAACAGATATTTATTTTGGTGGCACTGGAGTTTGAACTCAGGACCTCGTGCTTACTAGGCAGGTGTTCTTATTGCTTGAGCCACTCTACCAGATCTAATTTTTCTTAAATAGATTTTAGAAACCCAATTTGTTTATGTGATACAAAGATGATTTTTTTTTCTTTTTTCTTTCTTTCTTTTTTTTTTTTTGCAGTGCTGGGGTTTGAACTCAGGGTCTTCACCTTGAGTCACTTCACCAGCCCTATTTTTGTGAAGGGTTTTTTTTGAGATAGGATCTTATGAACTATTTGCCTGGAATGGCTTCAAACCGTGATCCTCCTGATCTCTGCCTCCTGAGTAGCTGTGATTACAGGCGTGAGCCACTGGCACCTGGCAAAGAAGCTATTCTTAGTAACTGGTGATAAAGTATTGGAGCAAAAGAAACTTACGTTCTGAAAATGGATGCTTGAAATCGTTTGATCACTACTTGATTTTTCTTGCTAAAACTGATGTGTTGCCTTAAAAAAAAATCAAGTCTGTGTACCTTAAAACAAAACAAGCTGGGTGCAGTAACTCAAGCCTGTAATCATGGCTACTCGGGAGGTGGAGATCAGGAGCATCAAGATTAAAGCAAGGCCAATCCAAGCAAAAAGCTCTTGAGACCCCTCACCAATGGCTGGACACAGTGGCACACCTGTCACCCCAGCTGCACAGGGAAGCACAAGCACAATATGAGAATCCCCGTCCAGGGATGGCTTCTTATCTAGCCATAAGGAAAAGTGAATCTTGCCTTTTGCAGCAAAATGACTGGAGCTGGTTATCTTAAGTACCATACACCAGACACAGCCAAGTGCGTGTTCTCTCCTACGTGGAAGCTAAAAAAGTCTACCTGAACGCGTAATAGAGGTTTCAAGTGATCAGGAAGGGGAAGGGGCAAAGGGAGGCCGGCCGACACCAGTGCATGTGTTGAGATGCTACATTAATACGTACGGTTTATACCCCCGTCAACAGTAAAGTACGATAAGATAAAGTGGTGCTTGACGGATTAGGATTTTGTTTAGCCATTCATGTAACCACAATACCTACCCAACCCAGTAAGGAGCCATGGGCCTGAACTCACCACATCCTCTGTGTCGCAAAGGTCGTGACCCCAGTACATGTGCTGTGCTGCTGCCTATGTGCACTAAGCTGACCAAATTCTAAGTAACTTAAAAACCGACTCATGGTGTATTTTAAATTCTGTGGCTGCTGCTGTTCGGTTTGGCTTCTTAGTGGGGAAGTGGCAATCAGACCAGATTTTATTTCTCAGTAAAACCAATTTCCTAAAGAAAGCCAGCATGATTATTTAATTTTCATCTCAAGCGTCTACACAAAGGAGTAAGGAGAAGACTTCTAGTACTTTTCCACAAAACCTTACAAAATAGGAAGTTATCTCAAATCCTTTCTGAAATAAGGCTTTTTTAAGGTTGGGGGGGAAGTTACTTTAAACAAATAAAAGAAATAAAATAATAAATTTAGAAAGAAAAACAAAAAAGAAAACCAAAAAAAAGGAAAAAATTACAAAAAGAACTTTAGTGGCTTGTCTAGCATGCAGGAGGCCCTGGGCTCAATCCTCAGGACTATGAGAAAAGGAAAAAAGAGAAGGGAAGAAAAAAAGAACTTTTTTAAAAGAAAGGGTGCAGCAATTTAAAAATTGTGTGGCCCTTTCTATATTGTTTGGATTGTTAAAATATGTTCATGCACTACTTCTATTTTTTAAAAAGACTGCCAGTTAGGTGGCTTACGCCTATAATCCCAGGTGCTGTAGAGGTGGAGATTAGGAGGACAAAGGTTCAAGGCCAGCCCAGCTATGCCAGAAGCATAAAAGGTGGATCATGGTCCAGATTAGCCAGGGCGTAAACGTGACTCTATTTGAAAAATAAGTAAAATGAAAATGGCTAGAGGTGTGGCTCAAGTGGTAGAGTACCTGCCTAGCAAGCACAAGGCCCTGAGTTCAAACCCTAATACTGTTAAAAAAAATAACAATAATAGTAGTAGTTTTGTGGGTAGTGAGATTATAGGCCATTTTGTTTTCCCTGTTACATTTTTCTTCTGTAGTCTTTAAAATAATTAATATAATTTTAAAAGTTAAGTTATAAAATCCTGAAAAACTTTAAAACAGGAACTAATTAAATCAAAGAACACTTTTAAACAAAAAAGATGATTATCAAACATTATTTCAAAGTATTTATTCTGAGTAGAAATTGACTATATACAGGAAAACAACCATGGGCAAGAAGCTACATCAGAAACCTTAAGGGATACACTGATTTGATCATCAAAATGTAAAAAACTCAGAAGAACTTTACATCAGATATTTCAATTAAAAACGGTGTTATTCCATTCTAGTAATGAGCAGTCCACCAACGAAGAAGACCTAACCCTCGGCAACTGCACACTCACACACAGCCCTGGACAATTATCACATACATTTTTCTCCAGAATTACCCCTTAGAAATCCGTATCTTCTTATTTGTTACTCTAATGGAAATTTCTCAGCATTTTGATTTTTTTTTTCATAAGTAAAAAAAAAAGTCTGGAATGGCTCTAAGCAACCACATCAACAATGGGTTAAAACTGGAATTTAACATCTAACTTATTTTTACAAAAGTGAAAATAGCAAGGTAGTGAGCCTGAGGTTAAAGGAGAATCGGGGCGGATGACTAATGTATGTAGGAATAATTTGTGATCTGATCAGCAGAGTGGCAAAGCTGATGACAGCCTGTGTTGACACAAGCCTCTGTCTCGGTACTCTTTCTCAAAGATATGCATGAGCACACTGAAAGGAATCACCCAGGGAAGAAAAAGTAAAAGCTTAGTTGTTACCCTGAACAGGTTCTGGGCACAGGCAGGGCAAGCAGCCTGCCCCTCTGAGTCCAGCTGGGCTGTCCCCAGGACATGGGTGAGGGTCACAGAGTGGGCCCAAGATGAGCAGACCCTGTGGGCTGGCATGGCAGAGAGAGGTCCAATTCACTTGGACGAGGAGCACCCACTGCCCCCTGGAGAGTCACCGTAAGGGAGCTGTCCCTTACCACGTAGGCCACCCCATCCTCTGGATGCACTTATCAGATGGGCTCTGTCCTGTCCTCCAGGGCTGGGTTCCTCTGGGCCTTCCGCCTCCTGGCACTGAGGGTGGAAGGGCTGGGTGGGGTGGAAGGGCTGGCCGTCTTTGCTTTGTTCATCCTCCTCAGAATCTGACTCAGACTCATCATTGTAGAAGTGGATCGTGGCTTGCACTGGGAAGCTGGCCAGCACTTTTTCTCCGGAACTCTGCAGGTATTCATGCCGCTTTGAAATGGGTAAGTAAAGTCTGATGTTTAAGAAACAAATAAAACCATCAGTGAGCCTGAAAATAGTCCTAAACTCCTGCTAGACGTTTCTTTCTCCCACAAGCAGTTCTTTCGGTCACATTTTGCCTTTCCTACACATAGTGGTTTCTAAGTCACCAGAATACGGAACTGTGGGCACCAGGTGACAAACCAGGTGATACGCCAGTGATACCGTGAATGAGCAAGTCATTGCGCTCAGCAAAAACATTGCGTTTCAACGAAGGTAAGAGGTGACACTGAGACTAAGAGGCCCTCTCAGTCTTCAATCGAGGCCTTCAGTCCTCACCCCGCCACCCCCTGAAGCATAGGAAATGCAACTGGGCTCTGGAGGAAACTCAGTGTTGAAGTGACTAATTGTTCCAGATGTGGCTGTAGAGAAGCTGGAGGAGTGGGTGCCTGGCTCTGCCACAAGAGAAAAGATGTGCTTGGGGGGAAAAAGAGGAGAGAGAGAGAGAGAGAGAGAGAGAGAGAGAGAGAGAAATCTTAAATATATAAAAGTTGGAACCTCTAAATTCCAAGTTTTATGGAATTGAGGATTCTGTATTTAAACCCTGCCCCCCACAATCTCTTATACTCTTCACTTACTAATTTATTTTTGATTTTCCTGTGATCTTCTGAGGAAGTGAGCAGGCTGGTCAATTGATCCTGTTCTGCTCTGTGCAGCTCAGGACAAAGTTTAACTTCCTAAGGTGGAAGTTCCCTTCCCGTAGGCATACTGGTTTTTGGTTATCATGACTGAGGAGAAGTTATTGATATTTAATGGGTAGAAGCTGGGATGCTGCCAGACACCCTACAGTGCTGAGAGCCCCCACAACTCCGCATTATCCAGCCCAAAGTGTCCACCCTGCTGAGGTTGAGAAATTGACAGAGTATATATGGTTTCTGAAGACAGAAACATAAGCAAAGTTTAGTTTTTGGCCATGTTAAAAATTAGGTGTTTACGCAGAAGTATCTGCAAGTAAATTTGTAAGGTGTGCTCAGTACCCATAGTGCTGGTGTACTGTGCTCAGTACCCACAATCCTGGAGCACTGTGCTCAGTACCCATAGTGCGGGAGCACTGTTTAACACCCACAGTGCTGGAGCAGCATACAACCCCTTGTTTACTCAGCACATATAGTCTGAAGATCTATTTTGCACTAAGCAACACATTAGCTTATATCCTGAAAGAGAACAGAAATATACCTCAACATAAGTACATGTGCATGTACAATTCATGTGTAATTAAACACAGGCAGTGTAAACAGAAGGTGTAAAGAAAAGAGGCCAATCCCCCATCTGCAACCAAAACACTATATAAATGAATGAACACATGAATAAATACCAGAAACCTAACAAAATGTCCCTGAAATTCATGGGTATAAGGAAATGAAATAATACTGGAGAATATATTTGTTTTCCACCTAGTTGAAAATGTATCCAGTTGGAGATATTTGTGTGTATCAATGCTTATATCAAGAGGAAATCACATTCTTCTTACTGCGAAGTCATATATTACCTTACAGGATGCTGAAACCCAAAGGCTCCCTTGGATCCCAAAGCTCGTTGGTCCCCCCCAGACTCACACTGTAAAGAGACAAACACAGATGTAGTCAAGGAACCATTGAAAGTACATCCTGATGCTTTTAAGGATACAGTCTAAATAGTCTGCAGTTGTAACTGTCAGCACCAATTTTAGAGAGTTTAAACACCTTAGCAGTATCTGATGGGTCCGCCTCCTTGCTACTTTTGTCCATAACAGTCCAGGCACTGTGACAGCTGCAAAGACATGGTGTAACTGGGCACTTTTAGCTGACGCCAGTAATCCTAGCTACTCAGAAAGCAGAGATTAGGAGAATCAGGATTCAAAGTCAGTCCTGCGCACATAGTTCTTGAGATCGTATTTCGAAAAACTTAATCACAAAAAAAAAAAAAAGAGTGACTCAAGTGGTAGAGTGCCCTGAGTTCAAATCCCAGTGCCACAAAAAAAAAAAAAAAAGACACAGGGCCTTAACTATGTGCTGTGGATATCTCTGCCCACAAACCCTTTCCCAGCCCTTGTCTCCACTTAGAATCAGGAGTGTCTTGCCATGTTATACTTTATAACTTAGTGATTTGCATCCATGTACATTTTTTCCCAGGCAAATGGCTGCACAATTCTGAGACCAGTCCTAGCAGAGTGACGCATCACATTCTGAGGAGCGGGAAAAGAGCGCACAGGTAGGGAGCTCAGTGAGAAATAGCTCCACTAGGAGACTGAGTCCCAATTCTGCACACCCATTGTTGGGTTTAGGTTTGATCCAGGAGACAATCACTGGAGACAGATCTTTGAACTTGGATTTGAGCCTAGAGACTGATTTTTTTTTTCCTGCAGTACCAGGGTTTGAATGCAGGGCCTACATCCTAAGCTACTTCACCAGCCCTTTTTTGTGAAGGGTGTTTTTTTAAGGTAGGGTTTCTCGAACTATTTGCCCCAGCTGGCTTCAAACCATGATCCTCCTGATCTTTGCTTCCTGAGTGGCTAGGATTACAGGTATGAGCCACGGCACCCAGCATGGAGACCAATTTTTGAGTTGAGAGTTCAACAATCAAATCTGTACTTTAAGGAAAACGGAGGCCTCTAGGAGTTGGGCATAAGGGCTTGCAAGCACCAGTGTTGGTAAGAGATGGCAGATCTGAACTGAAGTCAGTCAGGGAAGGGAAGGAAAGGCAGGTTATAGGTACATTTCAGTAGCACCTGAAGTTGCTTAGCTGGAGCCAAAGACAGTAGAGCTCATCTGAGCACCAGGTAACTAAGGCAACGTTAATGAGGACAAGACACAAGCAGAAAGCTTGCTTTGTCCATGCTAACTGCCAGCCGGGTGACCAGGAACTGAGGGGACATTCACAGTCTACCTGTGCTGGGTTAGCCCCTCCTGCCTGCGCCTCAGTGCTGGGCCTGAGTGGATTTGGCCTGAAGTATAGCCAGGTTGTCCAAAGGGCTGAGGAGATGGTAGTCACAATTTGATCTCAGATCTCTGGAAGTTTAGTTTACTATGGAGAATGAGATGTGGAGCCAAAATGGGCTGGAGTGGTGGATCAGAAACCCCAAGTTCTTGGACTTTAGTGGGAACAAAGTAGAAATGGGACAAAGCCTGCTGTGGCACTGCAAGAAAGAACTCAGATTTTTGACACCCTAGATGTCCATGCCATTCCATTCTTGGTGTGTGTGTGTGTGTGAGAGAGAGAGAGAGAGAGAGAGAGAGAGAGAGATCTGAGCAAACTGCCCTGCAGAAAACCCCTGCAGACATCACAGTTTACACACACACACACACACACACATTTTTTGGCAGTCTGGAGTTTGAACTCAGGGCCTCATGCTTGTTAGGCAGGTGCCCTACCACTTAAGCCACTCTAGCAGTCCACAATCAGCCACATTTTATTTTATAATACACTGTGAAGAGCTAAGGGAAGTAAAGTGGGACTCCTTTGCACCCTTGCTTACTCCTTGCAGGCCACAGGAAATTACTTCTGCTTTCAGCTCTATTTGTAATTATAAACCATCCCTAACTCATTGGTTCACTGTCCCACCAGCAATCCTATCTTGCCGAAGACAATTCCGTGTCCTGTAAGGGGACAGGATCTAATGATGCAATGTAAACTTTGGTGGACACCAAAAAGCAGTGGTAGACAGTACAGAGAAAGGTAACATCTTCAAAGCATCCAGTTCTGACTAGTCTCTGAAACATACAATATAACTCTATAACTTTTAAAACTGTACACCACAAACACACATAGCTTTAAGTTTTAGGCTGTAAACATCCTGATTAGTTTCCAAAAGATTTTATTAAAGATCCTTTCTTGCTGAGGGAAATGGCTACATAGTCACAGTTTGGTTATAAAATGGGATTAGAAATGTATCCAAGTTAAACTGGGTTTAAGGTATGTGTGTTTTCTTAAGATGGGAAGAACAGATTCAAGCAAAGAGGCTTTCAGCCACAGGCATGGGCCATTGACTGGGTTAAGGCTGCGGTGTGGAGGCCTGGAAGAGAGGACAGGCCCAGGAGAGCAGCCCTGACGTCTCTGGCAGTGAGGAAATGCAAGAGAGATCAAGAAAGCTTTCTGCTGGAGGCTTCAGGAATAGTGCAGGGAAACAGCACCTGCTTAGCGTGTGCAAGGCCTGGGTCCAATGCTCAGCACACATTTTAAAAAAAGAAAAGAAAAAAAGGTCTAGGGCGTTTGTTTTTCCAGGCAAGGGAAGAGACCAGTCTCTAGGAGTGGTTGGGGCGCCAAGCTGGTGAGGGTGACTCCGCTGCTCAAGGCCCAAGGCCTTGGGGTCTTTCCTCAAACTTAGTTTCTTATAATTTTGATTGGCTTGCCAGGAGTTCTACAGTTCACCAGGCCTTCATCCACTCAACCCCTGCACTCCCAACCTGTGGAATTTGGGGAGTAACACTGCAGCGCCCCGGAGCCGAGGAATTCTCCTGCTTTGTCGGGAGAGGGTGCCATTGAGCAAGAAGCGTTTCCAGCCCTGCGCTCTCGATGCCGAATACACCGTGCTGTGTACGCGGGGCCTGGCGTCGCCAGGGGCTGCCTGTCCTCTCCGCGACCAACTGAGCTCTACAAAGAGCTGCCAGAGAGCGCTACAGCCCACAGGAAACACCCCAAATCATGCAATTGCTCCATCCGAGTGACATGAGGACAGTCCAGTACAAAGTCGCTGCGCATTCGCGTTTCTCTGCAAGTCACTTTTCTCACAAATGACTTTTTCATCTTAATAGAAAAAAAAGAGGCCACCTGCCTTCCGTTAGGCAGTGTGCTATAGGACTTTTATTCTTGTAAAGAACTAATGGGTCCTACATATATTTCATTGAAAGGAAAATTGCAAAATTACAAGCATTTATTCTCTCTCACCTTTTAAATCTTATTTTGAAGAACTTAAGTTTGAATGCAAAGGAGTTGGTTTTGATTATTTAGATGTTGCATGTAATAATGATTTAGGCTAAAAATTACATCATTTCTAATTTGCTATCAATTTTATTTGCTTCATTCTTTAATGTAAATAGTAGTAATTGAATTTAATACACTCCATATTCAGTTGAATAAAGTAGCCTAAATATCAAAATAGAGTAAAGTTCTATTTTCCCCACACACACTTTGTCTCACCACATTACAAATAACCGCACACTAGGTAGGCCATAGGCCATTTGTGTTATGCAAATTGTGCAGTCCTTCCTACCTAGGTTAAGGTCAGTGTTTTAAAAGCCATCAATTTATATTTGAAACTATATCAAATGTAAGCAAGGCGTTACTTCAGTAAGTATAAAAAGCAATTAAGTTACCAATGCGGATAACAAAGGATAATTAATTAATCTCTGCCCACAAAGCTCTCTGCTTAAGTGTATTTGCTCAGACAACATGAGTTACCCCAGGAGTGCTTGGTGACAGGGCTGAAAGTGTTTAAGAAAGAGCCAGACAGCAGGTGGGGCTTTTAACTGCATCTTCTGGGCACTTCAGACAAGGGCCGTACCCTTGTTTGCACGGTGGCACCAGCCCACTGCTAATGGTGCACTCAGCTTTTTTCTAAGGTGGCTGACATTCACTCCCCTCTCCTGCCTGCTAGTCTGCAGAAGAAACCCCTAATTACTAATAAAACAGCTATGGCCTACTAGCTTTGCTTTTCAAGAATGCAGTCATCACGAACCCAATCTGTATGTGACTCAGACTGTATCACCCTGCGTGCCAGGGTTACACCTCCCAGATCTGGAGACATTTCTGGGTTAGATGACCAAGGGAGGGGCAGAGGGAGGAGGCCTTTCACGGTCCCTTTATTTCAGAGATAGTGCCACTTTCTGGCTTGACTGGTTACCTACAACGCCCACACTTCACTTACCGGGTTTCCAGTTCTGGTCAGCTCAGCATCTCTGGGAGTCAGCATCCAAGGTCTCCACGGTGCTGGGCTGGAACTGGAAGGCAAAAGCACCAGGAGAGAATGAGTCCCGGACATTTCTGCTCTTTTCAAATGCTGTCCTGAGAGTTATTCCTATGTCTAGTGTCTGCCTGAGAGACACTGTGGGCAGTCAAAGTCTCGGTCTGAGGACGGACCAGGACCAGTGCCATTTGCGTTTCTCTCTCTTGAAGAATTCCCGGTTTTCTGCCCTCAAATTCCACATTTGATACAATGACCCGACATTAGTGTACTCCTGGCTGGATTCTTCAGCATTTTCCACCATAGCTGGCTACTTTGTCGCTAGTTTCAACTACACCACCTCCCCCACTGAAGGACCCTGATTCTACAGAAATGATAGAGTTCTGCCATGCCAAAAAGGGGCAATCTGTCCACTCAGGCTGAGGGGCCCACTCACCCTGGGCGATCTCCCTAGCGAATGGGATTTTCTTCCATCCTACTACTTGAGAAAGGGCTGGTGCCCAGGAACAGCAGACGCTGAGAATAGGGGAAACGAAGATTGTCACGGGTGACTGTCAAAATGAGGGGATCCTTTTGCTAGGTTGCTTAGGGTCCTCGAGACTTCAGATGTTCTATGAAAGCACGCATTGGCCCGTTTCCTTGCCAGGTACCTGCAGGACACGGCAGAACTGTGCGTTGGGACCCACAGGACATTGTGACTCTCTCTGTGTCTGGCTAAGGAAGTAGCTCAGGGTCGCGGTGGAGCTCGGGGGCTCCGCCCGGACTCAGGGGGGCTCAGCTGGCTGAGCTCTGCGCACCAACACGGTGCGCGCCTGTGCCCGCGTCCCCAGGGGCCGCGGAGACGCTCTCACCTTTCGGGCCCGCGCGGCGGCAGCGGCCTCCGGGGATCGTTCCCGGGGCAGTGACAGAGGCGTCCCCGCGCCTCCGGGCCTCCGGCAGCCGCCTGGGGTCTCATGGTGCCCGCGGAGCCCGCGCCCTCCCGCGGCGACCAGACCGACCGCGCCAGGATCCAGCCGGGCGAGCGCGCTCACCTACCCGACCGCTCCGCGCCAGGTTTAAACACAGGGGCGGGGCGGGAAGGGGACACGGGAAACGGCGCGGGGGCGGGGGTAGGGGACAGCAAAAGCTACTGGAGGGAACAGAGGAAACCGAGGATGGGGTGGGGACAAGAAAAGCTCAAGGAAGGGGCACCGCGTGGCCAGGCGGCGGGGGGTGGGGATATGTCAAGGAGGGGGATCGGGAAGCCCAGGACCAGGGTGGGGAGACAAAGGAAAACCGGGGAGGGGACCCCAGGGATAGGAGCAAGAAACTCAGGGAGGGGACAAGCGACACGGAAAGCCCGGAGAAGAAGGGTATGGGGGCGGGAGGACTTTTCCATACGGCTGGATTGAGAGTGACCGGCGCTTGTCCCAGGGGCCTCTCGGCCAGGCGCGAGGAGTGCGGGTCCCTGATGGGTCCCATGTGTGGTCCCCTGAGGCTCTCGGGGCTCCCATCACGCGAGCATCTATGTCCCTAGATTTCCCCGGGAATCTCCCACCACTCCAAGGCGCCGGGGTTTGGGGGAAAGCTATAGAATCCTGGAGACCCGCTAGGCTCGCCTGACTTGGGTGCTGGCCCCCGGGTGTCTGAGACGCCCGGTCACGGGGACTTGAACCCGTGGCGAAGCGGGAGACATGGGGGCGCGCGACGCAGCCAAGCGACGAAGAAGACAGAGCAAGACCGGAGCAGCCTCCCCACCTACGGGCCTTGGAAGATACTGTGGTTGTTGTATTGGGCGGGGGCTGTGGGGTCTCCCGCTGGTGAGACCCGGGTGGGTGCCCGGCCCTGGGGACAGGTCGGCAGCGCAGGCTCCGGGTGCAGGAACCCCATTTCATCAGCTGTGCCTTGGACAGACGCCGGAGGCTGGAGGGTGGCGGGTCGGGATCCCTGATCCCCTTGCTTCCCTGGGACCTGACCCTCAGGGGCCGGCGACCAGGAGGAGTATGAGAAATGAAACTCACTTTGCTAATTTAAATTAATGGATTAAAAAATAATCGAAGAATTCAGGGATTAAAGTGTTTCCACGTTATTTCTCAAATTTTGACAATAATCCAAGTGAAAGGCCAACAGTAAACAGGGAAGAATTAATTAGTAACTTCATACAGGAAAAAAAGGACACTGAGTATAGTGGAGGAGGCAGTAGAGCAAGGCAAGGGACATGAAGTCACATGGGGTACAAGCAATAAGGTACACTGTAGGAGGAACTGTTTTTAAAAAGAGCAGGGCAGCTAGGTGTGGGTGTTCTAAAATGGGTGTCTTCCAGGTAGTGGGAGAGAATGTAGTCAGGGTGGCTTTCTGAGAGCTCGATAATATTTATCCTGTGCCTTAAAATGTATACCTGTTGACTTAGTAAATTCTTCAGTGTCTGAACTAAGGGTGTCTTTTGAAAGGGGAATGAAAATGTACTTACTCAGATGGAGTTATTTTTTTCTTTTTTTGGTTAGGACTGAGGTTTAGAACTCTGGACTTCACACTTACAAAGCAGGTGCTCTACTGCTCGAGCCACTCCTCCAGTCCATTTTGCTCTGGTTATTTTGGAGATGGGGTCTCTCAAATTATTTGCCTGGACTGGGCTGGAACCACAATTGTCTGGATTTCAGCCTCCTAAGTATGTAGGGATACAGGCATGGGCCACCTGCATACAGTGCTATTTACGTTTTAAAAATGTCTAAAATATGGTGAAATGTGCAGCTAATAAAGATGCATTTACAGAGTTTGGATTATAATGGGAAATAAAATACTTATGCTATTAAGTTAAAAGGGCAAAAGTGTATAAATAGAGTGAAACTATATGCAAAGACTGCAAAGAAAACAGAAGTGACTTCTGAGTTCAGGGACTACTAAGGATTTTGAAGGGCTTTAAAAATGTTTTCTAGGGCTGGGAGCATGGCTAAAGTGGTAGACAGTGCTGTGTGAAGCCCTGAGTTCAAACCCAAGCACGGTCACAAAAAAGTTTTCTAAATTTTCAACAATGAATCTATTACTTTTATTGTGGTAAAACAAAATAACAACAAAAACACATGATATACTGGGTGCTGGTGGCTCACGCCTGTAATCCTAGCTACTTGGGAGGATGAGATCTGTAGGCTCATGGTTCAAGGCCAGCCTGAGGAAATACTTCAAGAGACCCTATCTCCAAAATAACCAGAGCAAAATGACCTAGAGGTATGTCTCAAGTGGCAGAGTACCTGCTTTGCAAGTGTGAAGCCCTGAGTTCAAACTCTGATCCCACCAAAACAAAACAAAACAAAACAAAAAAACACATAATACAAATTTACCACTTTAGCCATTTCCGAATGTGTAGTTCAAAGCATGAAGTACGCTCACATTGCCTACTTCCTACTTCTGGAATTTGGTCATCACACCAAAAAAACTCTGTCCCCATTAATAACTCTGTTCTCCCCCCAGCCCTTGGCATCCGCCACTCTAATTCATACAGCTACATATTTGACCGCTGTCGACATCTCATGAAGAAAAATCATTTGTCCCTCTGTGGAGCACGTATTAATTTTATAATCATCACCCCAGTCTATAAATTAGCATTATTCTCAGTTTGCAGATTAAGAAACTGGGGTTCAGAGAGGTTCAACAACCAGCATAAAGTCACCATCTATTAAGAGAGCCAGAACGCACCTTCCTGCCAGGTATGTGGGCTTCAGAAACTGAATGGCACCAAAACTAAATTGGAAGGGTGAAAGGCCTCAACGCGGCACCTGCACAGCAGGCACTGTCTTCTGTCAGCTTTTGTTTTTACTTCTGCCAAGAAAAATGTAGGACCACAGATGTCAAAGCTAGGACAATTTGAGCAACAAAATAATGTTTGATTACAATTCACGGTATAAAATAGATGGGCACCGGTGGCTCACGCCTATAATCCTAGCTGCTCAGGAGATCAGGAAGATCAAGGTGCCAGCAAATAGTTTCTGAGACCTTATCTAGAAAAAACGTTTCACAAAAAAAGGGGCGGGGGGGGCTGGTGAAGTGGCTGAAGGTGTAGGCCCTGTGTTCAAGCCTCAGTACTGCTAACAAACAAACAAAAGGTATAAAATATGTAACTAGCCAAACTATGACTTCACCCTTGTGTTGAGTAAATGAAAAGATGGGAGAAGTAGAAAAATCTCCATAGTAGAAGTGTTCGAATAATTTCTGTAGATAATGTACCCTCAGAGAGGAAGAGTATAAGCACCATGAACCATACAAATATACTGTGTGATTCCACCTAAACGAATATTCCACTTAGACCTAGAGTAATCAGATTCAGAGAGACAGAAAGAATGGTGGTTGTCAGGGGCTGGGGGAGGGGGAGATGGAAGTCATTGTTTAAGAGTTTCAGTTTTATAAGATGAAGAATTCTGAGGGTTCTTCATCGTAAAATGGTTAGATAGTAAGGTTTTAAAGTTTTATGTATTTCATTACAATTTTAAAAACTAAAACAAATCTTTTATTTTATTCCCTTGGGACAAATATATCTCTTTTTTTTTTTGTTTGGAAACTAAGTTTTGAACTCAGGGCCTTGTGCTTGGCTAGGCAGGTGTGCTACCACTTAAGTCACACCCCAGTTCTCAAATATATATTTTTAATTTAAAAATCTTGAGCCAGGAGTGTCACTCGGGGGTAGAGCACTTGTCTTAGGTGCTTGATTCCCTGGGTTTGATCCCCAGCACTGGAAAAAAAAAAAATCTTAGAAAATAACAACATTAAGAGGGGCTGGAGAAGTGGCTCAAGTGATAGAGTGCCTGCCTTGCAAGTGTGAGGCCATGAGTTCAAACCTCAGTATCACCAAAAAAAAAAAAAAAAGTTAAAAAAAAATAACAACATTAAGAACAATAACAACATCTTGAAGCTTCTAGAACAGCTTCCGGAGTTGCACAACACTCAGAGAAGCGGTAACAGGAAGCACGGCCTAACTAAACACAAGGAAAGGGAATTATCATTTCCCTGCTGGTCTTCAACCCTGTTTATGTAAAAATATTCTGCCCTCTTAGATGTTTTGACTTTTGGTATCCTCTTCCTAGGCAGGCCGGAAGCCCTCGGGGTTGACATCTTTCTTCTTTGTCTCTAAACAGTCCCTGAAAGTCAGCATATGAAAAAGGACTTTTAATTAAAGACAGCAGAGCAAGAAATGGGATTTCCACTTTATTCCACCCCCCACCTCTGAGGCAGGTCACACACTTGGATGCTGTGCAGTGTTCAGTCTATAAACCAGGGGCTTTGAATATATCTGTCCTTTTCCCTCACATTACCTCCTCTATCATAAAGACCTGCTGTAGACTCAAAGTTTTAAAAGTAATTATATTTAGTAACTATACCATAACTATCCTTTTTTTTTTTTTTTTTGCCATACTGGGGTTTGGCGACACTGGGGTTTGAACTCAAGCCTCCCACATGCTAGGCAGGCGCCCTGCCATTCCAGTCACTCTGCCAGCCCTATACATGTTTTTAATAAAAATGTATTTAATGAAAAAATGAGGTTTTGTTTTATTTGTGGTGCAGGTGTTCAATGTCCCCTTCTATGACACCTGTTTAAAGCATCTCTGTCCTTCACACACACACACCTTACATTCCATGTCCTCATCACATTTAGCAGACCACAGGTTCTACACCTGTCACATCTCTCCCTACTTAGTGCATTTGTTGTCTGCCTCTCCCAGTACCATGTCAGCTCCAGAAGGACAGGGGCCTTGTCTGCTTTTTTTCATCACTATATTCTGATGCCTAGAACAGCCTCAAACACCTACCAAGTACCAGACGGTGTAGATATGACCACAGTTAGCTTCAGAAGAAACAAAGCTGTTTGGAGTTTTTCGATTTAGTGAAATACTCTCAGCTAACACCCAATCCTAGGGAATAAGAAGAGCGGAAAGTGTCACTCAGGTGGCCCTCGGTAAGTGGCAAGCTCTCACTTCAGGCTGTCCT